TGTACAGAGCTCGCTTTGTGTGTCGCCCTTTCGGCCAAGAAGATCTTTAAGGTGCTGTGGCCGGAGGCCAAAAACTCCTCCGGCTGATCCGGGCGGGAAACTAAATACCGCTGCCATGAGTTCCGCTGGCGAAACAGCATGAGTCTGTATTGTCTCCTCAGGTGGCGGGGGGAACAGGCAATCATCTGGTGCAGGAGGATGTTTAGCGCGCAGTGACTCCACTGTACTGGATTTGTGCTGAAGTTCCTTTCGTACTGAAAGCAGTTTGTGTCATTAACTTTGGACTTTAGAAACTTCCTTTTACCTAAAATTGTCGAATTTCAAAATCTATTTATTCCAAAATTTCGTTTTACTGTCGACAATGGCCGGTCGTTTGCAGAATGTTGTCCGTATACCCGTGCAAGCAATAAGCCACTGGTCGGCAATTACGCAGCTTTAATAATAATAATAATAATAATACTGTACTGACACCCTGCACTCGGAGAAAGTTTTAGCTGTGCAGCCACGCGTACGTTGTACGACTGCGTTCACTGCTCACATACACGGCTTGCAACTGCACACAGACTGCTGGCTATTGGCTGAACGCAATCGGCTTTACTTTCAACTGCATACAGCACCGTACTGCTCATACTGTACAAAATTTCTCCGAGTGCAGGGTGTCAATACAGTATTATTAGTATTATTATTTTGCAACTACTCTGTACAGTAGCCAAACTCCGTTAACGGGGACTTTGCTCCATTCCGCGCATTTTGTTTTACTTCACGGATAAAATGACTGCATGTACAGACTGTGGAGTACAGTACATGATGATCGTCCATCGAAGGTATTAGTTTGTATGTACATTGTACACCTGTGTACGAGAGTAATGAAAAACTAGGAAAATGCAATCGCTTTTTGTGGGCCTGCACGACCGAAGCGTACATATGGTTGTACAAAAGATTAATAAAAGGTGATAGTAATGACTACAAAAAGCATTCCAAAAATAATTCTCTCTAATTTGTTTCTCCCTTCGGAAACGCATTCAGCTTTTATTAGCCATATTGCTGGAAGCGTCCTTTATTAAGAAACCGAAATAAAACATAACTTCAGCTAACTCCAATGAAACAGAAAAAAATTGCGAAGAAAACCATGGACGGCCTTTCGCACTTTTTTTCGTATCTCCGCGGGCTAAGTTTGTAATTTTTCTTAATTGCCTCACCAAATTTTTGAGAGTCATAAAACGCGTTAACGTTACAAATTCTTTTTTCTTACAAAAACAATTTTTTAAAATAATAGCGTGATCAAACAGCTGCGAGGGAAAATTAAAACTATCTGGCAGTAGGTGCCAAAAACAGAAAGCTTCTTTTAGCATCCTCCCGGTAAAAAAGCGACAAAATTCGGTAAAACTTTATTGTTGTCGGTGAAAAGTAAATTTCTTTGGTAACTTAGATGCGCACCAGTGGCCATAAAATGCGTTTTCTTTTAATGCAAAGAACGATGTATTCACCAAGGCAAGAAGACTGAAAACCGAGAACTTTGGTGTTTACGAAAAAAGACTTTTACCTTAATCTCTGAACTTTTCAAAGCGTTCTGCTACATCGTAATAACAATAACACTATTTGCAGATGATACATTAAAGTAATCTTTGAAATAATTTGATAGACGAAACTGACAATAGAAAGAATGTGATTTCCAAAAAAGGACCTGAAAAAACTGCAAACCTAAGGATTTCGATTTTTCGTTTTTCCTGTTCTTCACCGAATTTTGAATTATCGTTTCCTTCGATAGCCTACATAATGGTTTATCCAAAAAACATGTCGTTTCTGTATTGCGTCAAATGACAGAGCGAGGTAAAACAGGGAAAACTGTTTTTGGAATGTCGTTTGTATCTGTGCACCGCTACCAAAATTAAGAGCACACAGGAGAAAAGTTCAGCAGTATTTAAATGCTGAAAAAAAACCGGTACTTCGTTGTTCGTACTATGATAAAAAATCATAAGCTGTTTATTAACTTGTTGTAAAGAAACCTCAAAATTTAGGCGAGACTAGATATTATGCTCAATGCACCGGGAAAAACAGAACAAACCAAATCTTTTTGACCCGTTTGTTCCCAAAACTGATTCTGGTGAAATTTTTCGATGTACCTCACGGTCAGTATTTAACAAAGCTATTTCTAAATACATATTATCTGGCTAAATAATAAAGTTTCCCGGTGTCACTACTGCAGCAACACTGTCCGTATATGAAGGCTAATTAATTTTTGTAAGAAAATTAAATACGAAAATTAGTCCAAAATGAGAATGCCGGAAAGCTACCAATCTTGAGGTTTCTCTGCGTACGCCGGAAATGCTAAAAAAATTATACGGCATCGTTATATTCCGGTACCCCCGTAGCAGACATTCCATGAACCTTAATTTCTTCATACCTCTTCCATAAACTGCGCAGTCAACCGAATGCAATGTGTACGTTTGGGGATTGCACCAACTGCAGGTGATCTGGTCCGCACAGTTGTTCTCATCACATAGCATGCTTGATTTACAAATTCAGTTCCGTTTTCCCGCATAATGTTTACTAATTATACTGATACACAGCGCTGGTGCGGCATACGCATCTAAAAATTAATAGGCAAGTAACAGCAAAGGTAAATATCATCGTATAACAGCACAGATAAAACGCATTACCAGCGCGGAATTAGTGCAGTAGCACTGAACCACGGCTAGGTACGAACTGCATAACTAAACACGTTCAAAAATACGTCATATGAAAGGCTGATTTGCATAAATCCATAATCCACAGGATTCGACACTACTGCCCGCCAAACCAACCCTCGAAATGTACGCTGGACTGAAATCTGTTACGTTCAACCATTGCACGGAATAACTTTTTACATTTCCACTGATCTTAGAGCAAAAGGCTGCCGTCTGATATCGACTAAGCGCACAGCGTTTCTCTGTATGTACACCAGACTTAGACCATCTTTTTGGTGGAGTGGGGAAAATCCCACCTTTCCGCCCCCCTCCACCTTTTTTGGAGTGCGGGTGAGTGGGAAGTTTGAAGCTGGTGGGCGGAGGCCGGGTGGAAAGTCCGAGCTCGGGCGGAGGGGGGAAAAACCGGAAGAAACGGGCCCGCCACTTGAAAACATATTGTGGTGGGGGGTGGCCCAGGTGTGGTATAGGCTGTTTCCGCTCGTCTCCAAATGCTGTCTCGCGTTGTGTGACTCTAGACTCTAGACAATATTGTGTCGTGACTATATTGTATGACATGCTATGCGGAAGTCGCACCGCGACAACCGCACTAGATGACCAAACCTACTCAATCGGTAGAGTGGGAATATGCTCTGGACTCCGTAAGTGGAACTACTGCCTACTTCCGCTAGGTACGAGCGGATTGCTGTGCCTAACGAAAGTTACCGAAACCGAAACACTCAGGAACTTCCCAAATGTTTAATCATCAAACCGAACGAACAAGCAAAAAGAACAGAACAGAACGCGAGATATGATATGAACTTCCTTCTAACCTAGAGTCACACGACCTTTCAGCTAGAAACAAGCTCACAGATTTAGTTGAAGTTAGAAACTTTTAACTGATTAGTTAAACCAGAGTCATGGATCACATTAGCGATCAAATCCGTTAGATAAGAACAACAAATCGTACGTAACAGAAAACACAACACGTACGTCATAACACGTACGTCATACGCGCAACTACGCATGGCGCGTTACTATATTATTGTATCTAGACTCTAGACACAATAATACTGTCCAGAACAACGTGACAACACACAGCTCTTGGTTATCGCTAAAATTATTAAAAACAAAATAAATTATCAATATTTAACGGTTTTCTTGTTAAACAAACTTTTTATGGTATTCTTTTTATATTGTATATGAATAATAAAGACCGATGTTTAATGATTTCTGTGAAGTCCGTACAGACGGGATTAAAGCTTTAATATGACTCGACTTCTAAGCCAGTCAGTTAATTCTACTGACTGGTACAACAGAAGGTAGTATTAAATAACAGAACATTCGCAGCCAGGAATTGATACAGCTAGTGACCTTGAAGAAATACACGAGAAAACAAGGACATTCATGCCGTACAGTTTCTTATTAAGCATCAATAATATCTTTCCTTAGCATTTCCTCCAAATTTCCCTTTTTTTTCGACCATACAAAATTTTCTTGCATTTTGACCCTGGCCAGAGTGGCGCAGTCGCTGCCGCTATATCTATACTGAACGGTTGCTCGGAAGTTACACAGCCTTCTCTCTTTATTTGCATGTTCCGCGTTGTGCACCTGGCTGCTTATACGAGTATTACGAAATTATCAAGAACAACATTTAGATTCAGGGTAAATACCGTAGTGAGTCTATATTATTTGATCTGCGTACGTATGTACAATACATCGGCAACCACCGGACACATACTGGTCAGCTGTGCGACCGCATGTTACGCTTTCGCGAACCCGTGGAATTTTATAGACACATATCGGTATGCGTATTTTTTTGTGTAATACCGGTGAGTCGATGCAGAAAATAATTGACAGTTCATTTCAATTGGTGTTTTAGGCCTACGGAAAATTTTCTTTTAGTAGTGATAGTGCATAACGGTAATGCAGCCCCAGCTAATTTCCCGTACAGTCATCGTCTTGCTGCTGGAATCTCTCTGCCGACTTGCCATCATGCCTTCCGGGCCAACTAACTTGCAAGTCGTAAGCATACACTGCATGGAAGCTCTTAAAATCCGGATACATGCCCGGCATGTATACAGTAGCATACACATACAGTGGTAGTATGATACTAGTACAGACCACACGGGCCATACTTTAATACCGGTATACGGCATACTACTAGTGATGTACTATACTTTACCCGTAATTTAACAGCATGGCATGTTTAATACAAGAAACGTTATACAGTACATGGCACTTAAACAGCTGCATAGCCATCGAAGCTGCTGCACAGCAGCAGCATGCATGTTGTGCTTTCGTATCACCAGCATCAGCACACGTTAACAACTTCACAATTTTATCGATCTGTTCTGTAACATGATGGGCACTTTAGGCGTTAGGCAGCCGACGATGGAGTGTCTATGCTTTTAAGATTCCACTTCCAGTCATTCTAAAATTGATACTTAACGTATTGCCATAAATTCGTAATTATTTCATAATCAGTAACTCGTACTGGCATTTCCCAATTCCATGCGCTTTATAACAAACATACCGTGCGCTTTTTTTATGTGTTGATTGTTTTATCGACGCCGAAACGCTGAACTCTGTGACTGTATATGGTAAAAGATGAGCAGGAAAAATAATTCGAGCTGTGAGCTGGGCTTTGCTCTTGACTTGTACAATGCTGCGGCCGATACGGTACCATCAGCTTCCAATCTGATTATTTGCCCATATTCCGTTGAAAGCGTTTTAGCATGTTTCTTGCCGGGCACAGATGGCGAAATCCACAAGAACCTGCTGCGGTTATTATGCCCAAAGGGGAGATCCGTCACCGAGTTATGTTATGAGCTGTTCTCCAGGACAGCAGACAATATTATCCAAGCCAACGCCGTTTTCTACGACGTTAAAGCTACCTTAGCGGCAGCCTACCAAGATGCCTTGAAGATTTATGAGAGTATACACTTTTTCAGCGTTCCCTTCGAAACTGACCCGCAACAAACTGTGGAAGCTATCAACAACTTCCTGCTCCAGCATTCGTCAGGTAACATTGATGATATTTTGCCGCGACTACGGTTAGATGATGTTCGAGAAAGCGATTTAATTTTGCTATCGACCATCAACTTCTCCGGAGCGTGGGACTTTCCTTTTGATCCGGAATCCACTTGCCACCGAATGTTTTATTGTGCAGACGGCACACAACGGCATATACCTTTTCTAAATTCGGAGATGGATTACTATCGCTCCTACAACGTTGACGCGCAGAAGCAAACATTATCGCCACATGATCCCAAAGTGTTGATATTAGACATCAGCGGAAAAAACTACAGTGTTATGTTTTTATTACCGGAAGAGAGTCCAGACGGTCTCCGACAGATGGAAAGCAGTTTAAATCCCAGTGCTCTGATCGAATGGAGAAAGAAGAGCATCGTCTCCGAAATCATGGTCGCCTTGCCGAAATTCCGCATTTCCACCAGCACCGACTTGATACCATGCACGAAAGCGCTGGGTCTCGCTGACATGTACCGGCCCTCGAGTGACATGTCGGGGATGTTCGAACACAGAACGCTGACAAAGGTGGCTGACTTTGCGCAAAATACCATGTTTGGTGAGTACATTCCCGAGGTGACCCGCCATTTCGTTGGCGAATTTATCACTTCTTTGAGCAGACACAATGTTCACCCGTTATGACGTCGTAATTTTTAGCTAAATTGCTTCCTTTGTTCCATATTTTTTCATGCTTACTTATGGTGCATTCTTTTTTCATATGCTCTGATATATTTTCTTATGTTTTCTCAGTCGTCGTCCTTGCATCGGCCGACGACTTGCGGTCGACATTGTGTCAGTCGACGAAAAGTCCGACAGTTGGCTTTCCAATAATTCCACACCTGTGTAATGGTGTTCGGTGTTCATAATATACAGTATAACGTCTACTTCATTTATGTTTTTTTTATCATTTTACTTCATTTATTTACTTCGTTTATTTCATTTATTTATGTAAGTGAATAATTGGTAATGTGCGTACGCAGCGTATCCGTAATTTCGAAGCAGTTTAATTTTTTCAGATGTCGATGAGTATGGAATCAAGGCGGCAACTGTCACAATTTCCCGAAACACATACACATGCAACTATTTCCCAGCTTTCGAAGCGAATCGGCCATTTTTGTTGGTCATTTGGGACAACAATGCTGAATTTCCGCTTTTCATCGGGAGGATTGCTGATCCCAGTCCCATGGTCACTTGATACAAGCGCAACTACAGTTATTAGGCGGCACTATGTATAATGGCTCAAAGCGACAAGCAGAGGCCAAGTGGAGACTGGAGACGCCAAAGAAAGCAGCGCGTGTATTTAATCCACAATAACTATTATTGTTTAATTCCCATTTAAAATACTGTCTGCCAGCGCAGGCGTTTTTCCATGTGGACTTTCTTTTTACTGCTTTCTGGCAAGCTTGGTAACTTTTATCTTGATCAAACCAAACATAGCATGAAATTTTTTAAAATAACCAAAAAAATTTGCATTTAGGGTTTCTAGCGCTTAGTGTACTAGTGCTTAGACGTAGCTCTTAGTGTACTACGGACAACTAAGTGCGTGACCGGCTGGGAAAAATGCTTTGTCCAGTTTGCTTGAACATAGAGGACCTTCGCTTTGGTCGATTATAAGTTGATCTGACTGAACGAATTTTATTCTTGGTCACTTTGCGCTCTACTGTCGGATGGTGTTATGGTGCAAGCGGCACCTTGTAATTACTGCGGAAGTGGCTAAAATTTCCATAAAAATGCTAAAATATTACGAACGGTTGCAAATTATTGGGTTTTTTGCTTAAATTATTGACCGTTTTTACATCGAAGACCCCTTTACAATTTTTCCGACAGTTTTCGACCACTTTAGAGTCAGACTATCTGAACAATTACAGCAGATAAACTCCATTAGATATGTCAAATTGATGATCTTGGATTTGTATTTTGGATTTCCCGGGAGAACGCATGCTTTTGCTGTTGGTTACCGTTGAGTCCGTTTCGATGGCTCTCGGTAAACAGGGTATGTCGTTGCCTGCTTGTGCGTTCTCACTCGGGTTTGTGGGTTCTTTTTTCTGGCTTGGGTAGCTGTTTGTAGGCCTTTTGGGACCATGGAATTCAAGTGCGATCTGTGCCCAAAGGTGTGCAAATCATCTCACGGTCTAGCAGCGCACCGCGACTCGGCAGTATGCAAGAAAGCACAACGCAAGGCTCTCCGTCCCGGACCTTCAGCAGCTCCTTCAGCAGCTCCGCAGCCTGCAGCTGGCTCCCCTCGCTCGCTTCCTCCAGCTCCAGTGCCTATTCCTGGCGCCACAGCGAACAATTCTGCGGGTGCTGCACCCACACCGCCTACGTTGCCAAAAGCTTTTCTGCCTTCGAAGGAGCGAGTTATACGCCGCATCCCACACGGAGCGCGACCTGCTGCGAGAACCTCACTGCAAAAAGCACTACAGCAAGTTGCGACCAAGAACGATAGCAAATCCTGGCTGAAGCTTCTTGACTTTGCACCGTCAGCGCTGCGTTTGCCTGCCAAGACAAAATCCGAACGTACCAGTTCCTTGGCTACTATGGTTAAGAAGAATCTCGATTTATACGACCGTGACGCTGAGGTTCCCCCGTCGCAGCCCCCCGGAACCAAGAAGAAACGGAGCTCCGGCGAAGACGTGGCTCGTCGCGTCGGTCAAAAGATTGACGACGGTTCTGTTTCTGGGGCGATGCGCGTCCTAATGTCCACGGACTCCATCGCAGATATCACTCCAGAAACTCTGAAAGAGCTCAGGGCCAAACACCCCGAAAGTGCCCTTCCACGTGTTGCACCGCATGCTGCTGACACGCCACTGTTACGTGCTTTTTCTAAGGTGGAATACGCGGATGTAAAGTAGCTTTATTGATAGAAATAAGCCAGATGTTATTAGCTAGTTGAGCCTGATGTAAAGCTAAAGAAAGATACAGTAGCAAGCCGGTTTTATACCGAGCTGCTGGTAAGAAACTGTATAAATAGAACATTGTAGGTGGAACTAAAGTAAGTGTAACAGAAGTACATAAAAGGATACAGTACATATAAGGAGATAGTAATTATAGATATAGTGTACGTATAGTACTTATGTAATGTACTCGTAACATTCCCTCCTTAAAACAAAATCGTCCTCGATTTTAATTAGTAATAAAAGATCAAGAATAAAAAGAAAGGTAAAAATTAATGCTGAATACGTGGGAGTCCATTGCGTTGTAGGCGGACTTCGGTTAGGGCAAGAGTTCTGATCCGGTATAACGGGTGGTCCAATTTTGGCTTCTGTTTCATGGTTTCTCACTGTTCAGGTTCCATCCTGGTTTTCTTGATTAGTTCGGGCGAAATTTTCATTTGCTCTTTGGATCGCCTCAGGGGAATAACGTGCGGCGATTGGGCGAACCAGTCGTGCTGGCAGTATTAACGTTAATACGTGGTGAATGAACACATGCTGATAAGTCGTCATTCGAGACGCGTTGGTAAAACCACATTCGCAACAATTAAAAATGGTATTGAACTGTTCGACGTTCAGAGTGTCGATATCGTGACAAATTGTTATGTCTCGGCTTTCGATGCACAGATTTAGATGAATATATTCGTAATTAGCAGTGCAGTAGATCAAAGGCGGGCTATCAAAATTAACTGGCGGCATGTTAGAAAATAAACCGAAAAAATGAAAACAGATATTATTTCATCGGTATATTTACCGAGCGAATTTAAACTTTCGTATGTTAAATTGAAAAGGTTATAACAGTACTGTGCTGTCATGCGCGCTAAAATCAAAACGGAAAAAAGTAAACGAGCTCAAACTTGTTGACTTGAAAAGATTTAAATACTAGCAGCATCAGGAAATTGTGCTATAATTTACGCGTATAAGGGTGCACTAGTGAATGCAACTTTGACTGACGGTGCACTGTTGGCAATTGCTTTAAAATCTCTCAAAATTTGTGGATTGGCCAGATAAATATATATCAAATCTGATTTTAAAGGAAAGAGAGAAATATTTTCAGAATGTTTTCAGAAGGAGGATCGCTTAACTTCGTACGACTCTAACGCACGTTACAGCTTCAGAGAATGAGGATGCCGGTTACCATATAAGGAAGCGTTTCGATCAGTATTACAGGAGGCATATACACAGGCACAGTGGTCCCACGCACTGCGCTGAGCATAAAGGGACGGCCTCAAATAAACTGAATTCAGAGATGATGTGATGCGGCGGCATATAAGAGCAGAGAGCGCAAGGGAATAAAGAGCAAGATAGTAACAGACTGACAGCCTTCACGTATAGTGGATACTGCTTCACTTGGACTGCGCGAGTGTACGGCATTCAAATTTCAAGAGCGATCTTTTTTTTAATATTCATCTTCGTCGACGGATTACAAACTTCAATCAGTCAGCACCGCTTTGGCCAGTATAGTATAGTAAATTTTAAAAGACGTCGTACTGATGCGCAGAATTTATAGAGGAACGTTTCAAATGCAATATGCGGTTGGCTCGGTACCGGTAAGAAATATTTTTATTGACAATAATAAGTAAATAAACTGCAGTGCGGTATAGGAGACCGATAGCTGCTTGGGATAGCAATTGCTAAAGACATAAGGAAAATATTTATAAATAATTTTTCGTATAGAAAAACGTATGCGGCATATCTGCCTCTTAAGTACAGAGACAATGCTGTACTATTACTGTAATAAAATTTAAAGTAAATTATGCATGCTGTGCTGACAAAAACAGATAATAAGAAATGGAAGAAATACAGATCACTTCAACAGTACTTGGAAAGAACGTAAGGAAAACGATATCAAAGAACTCGACGATCGATAATCATATTCGAAGCGATAATAATAATGTTAATTAATTTGGTCTCGTAAATTCCAATTAAAGACGGTAGATATGGTATTTACGAGTGTTTACTCGCTTCTCATGCTGCCTCTTCCCTCCTTGCGGAATATTGATGTTGCGCATTAACAGAAATTAGGAATAAATCGAATGAATTATAGTAGCTGCACAACGGTTTAATTAATTATCGAAAAATTGCAGATGTTAATAAAATAAGATAAACACGGTGCACAGAATTCCGTAATACAAAATGTGATTTACGGACGATGTAACGAGGTTCGAATAAATTATTTTAGTGCTGCAGATAACGCAAAGAAAGTAAAGGAAAGATAGCGAATAATGATTTGCCATATTTAGGCAGCAGTAATTTCTTTTTTGAACAAAGGTGAAGAACATAATAATGCTGCTAATATTTTTTTTTTTAAAGAGATTTTTTGTTAGACAGAATTTCCCAGCATTAAAAACCCTTGCGATATTTACCAAGGACACGGTTGCACGCAGTATATTAGAATCATCCTGGGTGGCGGCATACAGCACAAGCATACGCTGAAATTATACAAAGAATGCCGGATTTACGCAATATGTGATCCTTTCTCCTCCCTGGTATCGATAAACTCATCGGTGAAATAAAGGTCATAGGGATACACTGATAAACGAAATAACAGCTCTTCACAGTATAGAACTTTAGGAAAGGTCAGGGGCATAAAATGAATTAATTAATATAGGTGGAAAAATAAAGGTCATGGGCACTCGTGTTAGTTAGGCAAAATAACCAACAAAACCTGGAGCCACCAAGTTGTTACGTGCTTTTTCTAAGGTGGAATACGCGGATGTAAAGTAGCTTTATTGATAGAAATAAGCCAGATGTTATTAGCTAGTTGAGCCTGATGTAAAGCTAAAGAAAGATACAGTAGCAAGCCGGTTTTATACCGAGCTGCTGGTAAGAAACTGTATAAATAGAACATTGTAGGTGGAACTAAAGTAAGTGTAACAGAAGTACATAAAAGGATACAGTACATATAAGGAGATAGTAATTATAGATATAGTGTACGTATAGTACTTATGTAATGTACTCGTAACACCACCAGCGCCGCCTGTGAGCGCCGCGGATGTTTTTACTGCCATCCACAGCTTCCCCCGGGGATCTGCTGGAGGACCAGATGGTTTGCGCCCGCAGCATCTACTGGATATTGTAGGGTCGAAGATGGACGCTCAAAGTGGATTATTCTGCGAAACCCTGGCATCTGTCCTCAACATTGTACTTATTGGGGAAATTCCTGCCGACATCCGCCATATATTTTTCGGTGGAAGGCTGCTGGCTCTGCGAAAGAAAGATGGCGGCCTGCGTCCCATAGCGGTTGGCATGACGCTGCGACGTCTGTTAGCTAAGATCGTTTGTTCTAATGTAGCTGAGCGTGCGACCGCCATACTCTCCCCATACCAACTCGGCTTCAACGTACGCGGTGGAGCTGAAGCTATAGTCCACGGCACTAGGCACTTCCTCAATGCTTCACCAGATATCACCAAGGCTGTCGTCAAGATAGATTTTCGGAACGCGTTTAACACAGTGTCCAGAGAAGTGGTACTCGACGCTGTAAAGTCGCATTTCCGGAATACTACGCCTTTTTCCAGTCTGCGTACGGACACCACTCAGCACTGTTTGTCGGTGACCATATTCTGTCGTCTGAAGCTGGAGTGCAGCAGGGTGACCCGTTGGGACCGTTGCTGTTTTGCCTCGCCTTGCACGCGGTTGTTGCCACTCTGGAAGCGGAGTTTAATGCATGGTATCTCGACGACGGGACACTTGGCGGCCTTCCCAGAGACGTACT